GGCAGCTTCCCTTGCCAAATCTTTCCATTTTTCAGCATTCCTTCTTAATTCATTCGCTCTCTCTCCGTCTCCCATGACCAAATCCAAGCATCTATTAATCTCACCTCGTTCCACTATCCCTTCCTCGTTCGCCGTCACTCTCACCCCCGTCTCCCACACATCTTGGATGAGCTTCGCGTTCGTTCCTTGATCGGTCCATTGAGGGAAAGCCACCACCGGCACCCCGGCAACCAAGCTCTCCAGGGTCGAGTTCCAACCGCAATGCGTCACGAAGCACCCTAACGACGGATGAGACAAAACTTCCACTTGCGAACACCATGGAACTATCATTCCAAACTGCTCAAGCTCTTCTCTGCAACTCAATTTATCTTCTTCTTTTTCTTGCTCTCCATTTTGTTTCTGATTTCTTATAACCCACAAGAACGGTCGCCCACTGGCTAATAAAGCGCGAGCGATTTCCTCCACTTGCTGCTTTGCTAACACAGCAATTGTTCCGAATGACACATAAATAACAGTTGATTTTGGTTTTGAGTCTAGCCATTGGAGGTAATCTTTTGAACATTGAAAAAGATCACCCTTGAAGGAACCATCCGACGGGTCTTTTCCACCTAGAAAAGTAGACGGGATCAAGGGTCCGACCGCGAACATCTTATAATTTTCAATAGCCTTTAATGCCTCGGGTTCCAAAGCATCAAAGGTGTTAACAAGGACTCTAGCGTTCGTTTCTTCTGCAAGTACTTCAAATTGCTGTTGAAATAATGACAAAGCTGAAGGGTAAGCGTTTGAAGCGGCTACGAAGGAGGGAAGGTCACGGCTTGCAAGCGGTGGCAGCGCTGGTAACTCTATTGGACACTTGGACTCACCAGCTTGGCCCTTAATAGTTTCCTCGTATCCATTGAAGTAATAATAGTAGATGTCGAGAACTGTGGCAGGTTGAATCCAAAGCATAGCTGATGGGATGTGATGCTCTCGCGCCACCTCCATAGCCCAGGGTAGGAGCAAAGAGTAAACAATGCAAGTGACCGGTTTGCCTTCGTTGTCACTGCTTACTACAAGGTCATTGAGATTTTCTTTGCCTCGACGCCTGAACTCAGACATGTAGTGGTCTTTGTCATCCCCGGGCTTTAACCCATCGTCATAGCCATCCGAAAAGGTGAAGAATGATAGGCCTTGAGCCGAAGGGACTTTGGTCATGCGGCGGCGGGCGGAGACACTGGTGGTGAAGGTGACGCGTGCACCAATACGGACAAGACACTTGGCAAATTGGAGGGTAGGGTTTATGTGGCCTTGGGCAGGGTAGGTTACAAGGAGGAAATGAGGTTGTGGCATGGTGGCAG